GGGGGGGTTACACATTTTCAAAATTTCCATTTTTAACAACCCATTTACCAGTGATCGTAGACAGAGCACGAGGGTGCACAGGGATAGTTGTGCTATATTCACACTGGTCTGTCTCTGTGGTCTGCTGATTTTGACATAGGAGGATTTCCGTACCGATAGTTTCATCTTTCTTTTTTTCTTAGCAAAAGGTTGCTCTTACACCCCCATCAACACTTTTAGATCATTTAGAAGGTAGTCTTCCGACCCTGCCTGACGTCAGTATCAACCCAGACTGAAAGGGATACAGCATCCCTGCAGAAACACCGAGATGCCAAATGAAAATAATCTCTACTTCGGAATCGAACGAAGCGCGTAACCACTACATCAAAGATGATGATGATGATGATGATGATGATGATGATGATGGTGATGGTGATGATGATGATGATGATGATGATGATGATGATGATGATGATGATGATGATGAGTTGCTCCCGAGGAAGCCCACGGGGTGAAACTTTGAGCTATTAAACAAATTTAAACATTTTATATTGTTATTTTATTTTTGTCTAAAATTAAAACAAGACTCTCCCCCCCCCTACCCTGCTTACCAAACAATGATGATGATGATGATGATGATGATGATGATGATGATGATGATGATGATGATGATGATGATGATGATGATGATAACAAGAACAATGATAATAATGAAATAATAATAATGAAACCGTCCAGAAAGGAATCGAACTCTTGTCTTCTGCGTACAATATCGAAGAGACTACCCCTCCACCACAGACGCTTGTGAACAGACTGCGGCGCCAGAAGAATTATTAGTATTAGCACTTGGGTTGGCGACTTTTCTGGCCCACTTGGCTCGACCACATCGGAGCTCAGAGAAGGCCCACTAGTAAGGCCGGACATGAGGAGTCAAAGAAGGGACTTTATTTAGTCATTTGGAAATGGTAGTAAAGGTAGTGGCAACGAGAACTGTTAATTATACATGTACGAATTGCGTCGAAGGGTACATAATACATTTGTAATTATTACGATTACAATCTTTTTTTGGGATAAATGGTCACACTGAGAATACGTTTCCCCGAGGCTTTCTAATACATTATTGTATGACTAGCTCACGAGGTACACGTTTCAATATCATCACAGTATTCAGTCTTGACCGTGTTTTCTCTCTCTGTATGTGTATGTGTGTGTATGTGTGTGTGTGTGTGTGTGTGTGTGTGTGTGTGTGTGTTTGTGTGTGTGTATGTGTGTGTCTTTCTCTCGCCCCTCCCTCTCTCAATAAAATGTTTTTTTTCTAAATACCGATACATTGCATATTTTCGTTTGAGGATAATTTATTATGATACACCATTATGTTGATACGCTTCACCTAATCTGAAAAAGAAAGTTCATTGGAAAGTCCTAGGAACTTAACCTTTGGGCAGAGAAAGGGGGCAATTTTGTTATACAAGAAAGAGAGGGATCCATTCGTAATATGCACTGAAGCCGCCACTAATCGGTCCGATCCAATCCGATTCGGTACGGATTGGCGCTGGGTTTAAACTACATTCGGTGAGCCAGCGAAGAAAGCAAGGTTATGTTTCATAAATGTTATCTCACTTGATACGAAGACCTTCAACATTCCACGTAAACTCACAGTTGGGCAGATGGCAGTTATGATTTATGCAACATGTTGTTGTTGTTGTTGTTGTTGTTGTTTGTTTGTTTTTTGTTTTGTTTTTGGGGGAGTGATATAAAGAGAAGTTCAAATGCATAATGCATGACTAACTTTTTTTCGAACTCTGTTAAAAAGTAGCAAGAGTCAATACGACTTTCTAAGAACTCATTTGTTCTTCAAAATTATACAAATCTAAGACGCGTAGGCCTCATATTATTTGCAGTCGATATTGTTACAACGGCAACCGACTGTTGAGGAGAAAAGATGCCGTTTTGGACTTGCGGATGTCTTATACAGTGTCATTGAATTGAAAAAAAAATCTACTTGGGGAAAATGGAAATAATCGTGTGTGCACATGACTGTCTTATACAGGTGGCTGTCAGAGCAGGTTCAATTCTACGCTAAAGAAAGCAAAAATAGCTTATAAGTCCAACCCCGATTGATAACTGAGAACAAACGAAATAACTGTTTTCCTCAGAACCCACCTCCACATGAGTCATGGATGTTTGAGGGTTATACGAAAAATTCGAGAGGAATCAAAACAGGATAATATAACTACATGTTTAAGTTTAGGGCGACCACAAATGGTTTGGCAAACTTCAGTCTCTTATCTAGCGCTCTCAAAGTTAAAGTATCACTCCGCTTCAGAGCTGTTCGTCTTCCGCTGTGGTTTTCCTATCTCTTCCTCCGTCGGTCTCCCTTTCTCCCTCCTCATGCTGTGCCATGTAGTAATTATTTAGAACATAATAAAATAGTAATGAAATCATGTCGATTATTTTATTCAATGCTTCACTTTTAAGATGAGATCTTAATCTATGTATGGCCTCTTTGGCTTGTCTGATTCTTTGTTCACCTCATCAAAGGTGATGGGACCTTTAAACTTGTCAGCAATTAGAAATTCCTAGGAGGAAACATCTCCTTTCTAGCTCTAGGGCATATAAAATTAGTATTCTAATCTCAATGCCTTCCGCCGAACTTCATGACTTGCAAACACACAAAAACAGGGAGATGACCAAGAAGCGCATATTTGGACCGTTGAGCCAAATGCGATGTTTTAATCTCTACACTTGATATACATATTCTATTATGTTCTGTGGTTTAAGTCAGGTAGATTGTAAAGGACAAGAGTGCGCAAGAAGGGGCGGAAATCACTAGTGCCACACCACAGAATTCTGTGTGCCACACTGATCTGTGTGCTGTGTGCTTTGACGCAGACGAGGACATGACTATGAAACCTATAAGTGTTCGTTATCAAAGTATGTTGTTAGTCAGTGGCATAGTAATGGTGCAGTGTGTGAAGGGCAAAGAGAATCACAGCCAATGTACGGAACTAAATTAAATGCCCCCAATTGATGGCACAATGAACCAGAACTTTTAAAATTTCTGAATTGCTGTTTGCAAGGCAAATAAAGCCCCACGACTCCGTCGCCTAAACACAATTTCTGAGAAAATATCGATCTGTGTCTCTGTCCCCATTAGTCTAATTGTGGCAGACTGAGAATCGCGCTGATCGTGTTGACTCTGTCACCGCCAATCCATTGTCGATATGGTAATACCTCACACTACAGAACAAACCTGTTTCAGATTATGTGGATATAGTTGCTTGTTGCGAAAAAAATCGGATACACTATTCGCATCCTTACTTTTTCCACTTCATTTTAGTTTAAATAAAAGTTTTACGGCACTTGTAACACACCATGGTCAAATTAGTGTCGAGGATTTGAGATGTTACAAGAGAGTAACAGACACAAAAAAGGAGGAAAGCTGAGGATGAGAAATGTTTGATAGAAGAGAAGGAGCACATTACACCAAACCACCAGCCAACCGCCCATCCGCTTCATTTTGAGGCAAAAATGTATAACCTATTTGATCAAATAAGGACGGTAGCTAGCCCCCCCCCCTCCACCTACCCCCACACACACAAACGCACACATACGCACACATACACACGCACACACACACACGCACACACACACACACACACACACACACACACACACACACACATCTTGTCACATTAACAACGTACTGGTCTGGCACAACCATGGAAACCGCTCTGGTGTAGAAAGAGTTAAGATAAAAAGCTTTGTTACTAAAAGTAGTTAAAGTCATAGTCAAGCCAGAGCTAGCTATTGATTGTGCGTTACCTCCCCTGTTTGGATGATTCGTTCCGGACAGGAGCAGTGATAATATTTGCCTTCCACTTGCTCTAGAGCGTTTTAATTGCTCGTCGACGTCAGCAGTTGCAATAGAGAAAATACCGGAGTCCAGTTTTTGTGGAGCGGTTCCAGTGGCCGGATGTGGTGGGGCTTTATGTCAAAACAAGGTGGAAAAGCATCGTCTAGGATGGAGAGTGTTATGGGTTTGTGACAAGAACTACTCTCTGTGCTGATGATTAAAAATACTGTGGTGAATTCATGAAAACTGTGTACTTTCACTTCTTAGAATATCGAAAGTCTGTTTGGAACGTGCACACAATGTGCAGGATGCTCGTGGCTTTTCCGTTCGTCTTTGGACACCTTGTGTGAAGTACCATTACACTCTCAATTTCCTTACTCTGGTGTGTGTGTGTGTGTGTGTGTGTGTGTGTGTGTGTGTGTGTGTGTGTGTGTGTGTGTGTGTG